TTTTTTATTCAATAAAGATTAACCTTTTCTTTTAATTTAAATTGAATTATAATTAAATTAAGATTTGATTACAACAACATAAGTCCAAAATCAAGAGAAAAATTAACTTTTCTTTTCACTGAATCAGAATAATGAAGTTTTAATACAGATTTGGTCATTTCAAGTGAAGCAAAAAATGTTTTTCCTTTGCAGATTTGGCATAAAATCAAAGATAATTTTTTTCCTCTTGTAAACTCAATCCGGGGATATACTGTAGAACCTGAAAGGTGGTAAAAGTTGTGGCACCCTATAATTATATAGATTTCTATAAAACTTGGCCTATGGAAACAAAACTAGGTCATCTGTCTAGAGAACAAAAAAATACTTCTAATAAAAAAATCATAAATTGGAGTTTAAAAATGGGGATTTTCTACAATTACATTGCAGTAATACCAACAGTAGTTTTTCAGATTTATTTTGCTTTTTTTTGTTATTCCTCTCATTTCAAAGACCTCTTCTATTATACGACAATCTTGAGAATTAACACTCGGTTACAAATTGCACTCTTTCGTTAATACCAAATTCTTGCATAACAGCTTATTAAATTAAATATTAAATAAGACATACAGTATTCATCTTTAATAATGTTCATATGGAAATATCGCCACAGGAATGGATTCTATACCCAGGGGTTCTCAAACTGTAACAAAAGGGAGTCACCAAAGAGGTAATAAAAAACGAAATTTTACAAAACTTTTTTCCTGAAACTTAAATAAATAACTTCTGACAGTAGAAGAATAGAATGTTAATAGTTTAAATAAATATTATTGCATCTCTAGTAAATTCAAGACATAAAAATTTTGTAGGAAACCGTAAGGAATAAGAGGAGAGCATTTTGTTATTGAGTTCTGCAAAATTTATTTATTGTCTTAAAAAGAAATCTAATATAAAATTTCTTTTGATGATTTAAGAATTACCAACTGTCTAAATAGAATTAAATTTTTGTCGAAAAAAATTTCGCAATTAAATTACTGAAACAAAAAAAAACTATAAATATGTCATTCTTAAAATAACAATCTCATTTTTTGTAGTACTTCATCAATAGTTTATTTATATATAAAACACCCTTCCTGTGAAGTAATTTTGCTATTCGTAAGGAAAATTTCCCCTTATAATGACATAACTTATTAAACAATAGTTATTTATGGTATGTTGTATATAAATCAAGAAAGAAATCTTGTGAGACGCAGTCAAGTGAACTATTCTTTTTTAAGTACAACAACAACCCACGGGTGCCATATAACGTTTTACCCATCATCTCCACATTGCACATTTCATAATATTTCATAATTTTCTCTTGCGATTATTGAGATGAGTGACAAATATAACAGTGGGTAAACTGCAAGAAAACTCACATTGCTCCTAAATAAAGAAATTAACTAATTAAATTCGGACACCTAAAAATTGTTAAAAAAGGGGGCGCGATTAAAGTTGTTGAGTCGCAAACACTGTTTTCAATTAAAAATTGAATTCACTATAATATCAATATCATTGTGAATTCCCTGTTTAGCAAACCTGCACAATAAAATAAGACTTTTTTCCTTTTATACAGAGTGCACCAGAACTCGCGCCCCAGAGAAAAATGGATAAGATACCAGAAACATGCAAAAAATGTTAAAAAAAAATTATCTATAAAAATTTCGAAGTTATGAGGGTTTAAAGTTTGCACTTTGACTCTATTTATTTCTGTTGGAAAAATAATTTTCCAAGTTTTTTTGCTATATTATCGTATCAACAATAAATTACTCCCTAGGATTTAGGGATATTCGTGAATTGGTTGCCATAGATTTGGTTAGGTTGGTTTTTAGTGACAAACAAAAGATATCGTAACTAGTGTCAAAAATTTAGGTTAAGTCACCTGTCAGTTTGTATAGATAACTCAATTGATAGTTGACAGCAGGTTGACAGAAAACGTCAACCGTCAACAACAAGGGGTAACCAACACTAGGCATTCAAAATTACTTCTGAAAATTTTAGTTACAAACAACATGAAAAACGTAATCTTCCTAAAAATTCAAATCCTAGGTGGTAATTTCTTGTTGACAAATCTTTAGGATATTAAAAGAGGAAACAAGGAAACTGTATACTAAATAGTAACTCTGTTCAATGTTATTTGCGGCTTTTATTGGCAAAATTTTTGTCCCATTACTAAATAATTATAAAAAAACATATACCAAGTGAATAAAAAGTATGGAACGAAGCGTTTTTCTCGTAAACTAACCACTTTACAAATAAATAATTAGTGTAGCGTAAAGTCCAATTAAAATGTGACCATTTATCAAGAATAACATTTTTCGAAATTTTTTTTAGTTTTCGAGTTCTGGAAAAAAAAATTTTTTTTTTAAATGGCAACCCACTATGGTAATTTTTTAAATTAAAGATTATGATCTAAAAATGACTTCTAATTAAACAGAATTGTTTTCTAGTCAGTACTTTTTTTTTAATAAATTGTTAAAGTTGCGTTCCGAGCCCATCACGAAGATTTCCCGAACTTGAACGAGGGAGTCGTTTCATGACTTTGGTCGTTGGAGAGCCCGGATTTTGGTGCAGGTGCTTTGGGGTGGTTCCGGATCAAAAAATGTAAAAACAAATCATTTTCTTCTATTTTTAGTCCATTCGAAACCACCCCAAAGCACCTGCATAGAAATCAGCGCTCTCCCATGATGAAAAGCATGAAACAACCACTTCGGTTAAGTTCGGAAAATCTTCGTGATGAGCTCGGAACGCAACTTTAACAATTAATTAAAAAAAAGTACTGRCTAAAAAACAATTTTATTTAATTAAAGGTCAGAAATTTCGAAAAATGTAATTCTTGATAAATGGTCACATCGTTCACATTCGTTCCATACTTTTTATTCACCTGGTACATGATCATCAGTATCATTAAATCGTCGTCTGCGTTGATTGACAGTAAATAAAGTCTGGGCAATAGGCCAAAATCGTGAACTTGTCAAAATCGTAAATTCCGGTAGATGACGCGCGCGTTACGCTCAAAAGGAAACTGTAATTCGTGAAATTTGAAAATCTGCAGGAAATTAAATGTCACAATTGTTGACACATTTAATAAAATATTGATCTGTCACACAACTAATACATTTTTTCAGCTTAAGAAGCGCAGTATCAATATCTTTCAGACGTTACATTATAATTTTTAAAATGCCAAGTATCCGAACTGGTATTGTTCCAAACTGTGGGCAAGCGGAGAAAGAGGGTGTTATTTTACATCAATTTCCAAAAAGTAGAAATCAAAAAAAACGAATGGCTTAAGAGAATATCTGGTACCATCGGCAATATACCCCCAAATTCCGTGATTTGTGGAAAACACTTTGAAGTAACGAGCTATTATAAAAACAAAAAATTGTTACCAAATGCAGTTCCATCCTTGCTCTTGAATTTTAAAAGAATTACTCGTTTTCAGGTAATTTCTACCACTTCCATTAATTCAGAATGTAAGCCGTTAGAAACGCCTGCACCGTGTCTCCAATCTCCAGTCATTTAACAAAAATTATACGATTTCAAATCCATTTCGAATTGATTTTGATCAACAAAGCGATTTAAAAGTAGGTGATACTCATGATTTTGATTTAAAAAATGTTTCAGATGCAATAAGTTCGGCAGAAAAATTTGTTGGATACTTTTTTCATAAAACACTTTCGACTGAACAGTTTTTTAATATGACCATAAATGTAATAAGACAGGTACATACATGAATGTGGCTTCAAAATCTTGAGATTGGTAAGTGACAATCATAAATCAAATGTTGCACTTTTTAAAATGTTAGGACAAAAAGAGCTGAAAACCAAGGTCCCTCATCTAGTAGTACCTCATTCACCACTATTTCTTAGCTTTGATTACTGTCAAATGTAAATCTTAATTTTTGTAAATAAATAAAATTATATTTGCATATAAAATGTTTTAATTTTTGATGTTTTTCGTCTAGTTCTTAGAAAAAATTCAAGAGTAAACAATTACGCATTTATTATTATACAACCCATAAAACACAAAATTAAATTTTTGTATACAAAAATCTATCAAGGTTTCAAACCAAAATATACAGATTCCATTCGAGTGCGGACTCGTCGCTCCCCCAACGGCCATTTTTTGGCATTGCCCAGACTTTTATTACTGTCAATCAACGCAGACGACGCATTAGATATATATAAAAAAATGTCAAATGTCGAAAAATAAATGTCAAAATTTTTTGCACAGATAGAATTTTTTAAACATTTTTTTCATGATCCTAGTATCTTACCTTACTTGAAAATTTTCTCTGGGGCGCGAGTTGTGGCACACCTGTATACTTTGCTAACCACTACCTATTTTATCTCCGTTTTTGTATTTTCATCTCTAAAGTTTTTGCAAGCGTTTATTGACATTTTTTTAAGTAAATTCAAAACCAAAATTGCCAATACGATTAATTAAAATTACCATAAATAAATTTGCTAGTGGTGCCAATCTGGCAAATCAGTTTAATAAAACAGATGATACGTCACCTTTTTGACAGAATTTTGTCAACGCAATAATAAACTCATTCTTCGCATTTTTTAAATCAACGAAAGCAAATATGGGTGAAGATTTCGGTGAAGGCGGCCCCCCTATTCCCGGCGAGGGCGTCCGTCAATTCGGTCCCCCCACTGCCCCCTCAATCCCCGAAGTAATCAAAGAAAAAAAACTAACATTCGAAGAAGCCTCCAAATGCCTCAATACTCTTGGCAAAGACGAAACAGGGAGCCGCTACGCCTACTTGATGATAACAGCGTCCAACAGGAAACTAACCGACGTTTCCATCATCCTCCGATTCAAACACGTGCTTTTCCTCGACCTCAGCGGCAATTACCTCACCACCGACGCCCTCCAAGTCCTCACGGAAATGCCATTCCTTATCCTCCTCAAAGCCGAGAGGAACCGAGTCGATTCTGCCGCCCTCAAACCCATGCCCTACCTCCAAGTCTTGGCCCTCAACCAAAACCAAATCAAACAAGTGGGGAATATAGACCAACCCCTCCTGGACTGTCTCGAAATGAACTACAACGACATTTACAACACGGAATTTGAAACTGCCAACTTGAAGCAGTTGAAACAGTTGGAAATGAGGAGTAATCTTCTGTTTGAAATCTCGGGGTTTTACCCACCCAATCTTCGAAAACTCTACATGGCTGCCAATAAAATCACCACAATTAATTCCCCAGAATTTGCCAAACTGGCCTACCTGGAAATCCTCCATTTACGGGAGAACAACATTCAAAATTTGGATGGCTTCTCCGAGGCTCAAACTAGTCTCAAATATATTAATTTGCGTAATAACAAAATTGAAAAGTTTAAAGAATTCCGAAAGTTGCAGTGTTTGCCGAATTTGGAAACTTTGATCGTCACCGGAAATCCGCTCCCCGGAAGTGAAGTACCGCAAACGGGTGAGGGTGGGGGAGGTGTTTTTGGGGAAGGGGGGAAGATTAGAGATCCGGTGGTGATTCCTCTATTGGTGTTGTTACCCAAGTTGAAAAGGATTAATAAAACGGTGATTACGATGGAGGACAGGATCGATGCTGAGGATATGGAAAATGATGTGATTGAGGCGTTGTTGAGGGATGATGAGACGGCACAAGACACTGATAGAGAAACGACGACTACGGATTATAAGCAAGAGTCAGATTTGGATGAGTGAGTGGTGGAAATTACATTAGTATGAATTGTTGTAAATACTCACATTCGGCCATTTGGTGAGATTTTAGTGAGAAGATCTGCAACAAAATAAATATGTTAAAACTCATTTTTGATATTTATTTTTTATCTTTTTTTTACTCTATTTTGTTCACAATTCACTAGTTGCTCTGTGAAATGCTATGAAAATCAGGATTGTTTTTCAATTTGGTTGCAGTGTTGCCAAGTTATTCACTTTTTATGGAAAATATTTCTTCTGACAAATCTACTAAAATAGGGTTCAGCTATAACATAATGTTCTTCTATAAGAAAAAACATATTTTGATCCTAAAATATACAGTTGCAATGTTGCCATTTTGCAGGTAGGTTTGTCAGTTCCACTTACATTCTTCATTCGGGTTTTTAGTAACAACCAAATTTAGGATTTTAAAGTTTTAGGACGATAAGATTATTGAAAAACTACAACTGTAAATGTTTAACTGACTATTTAAAAATTCTTTAGATTGTTCAACATTAAAGACACGAAAAATATTCGAAAAACACATTTTTAAAAAATGTTCATGTTTGTCAAATAGTTTCTCCAAAGGTTTAAAAAAACATTATTTGAGGACATCACATAAGAGAAATCCTTGTATAATGAAAGTGTTTACCATTTGAAATTTTTTCTTACTTGCATGCACACAAAACAAACATTTTTTATATACAGGCTGTTCCAATGAAAACGAGCCATCCCGAATATCTCAGAAACTAAAAAGACTACAAATACGATAAAACAGGTCAGTTTTGTTTTCAAGGGGGAGATTTTTTGACGTAATTTTTTAAGCACCCCCAGAAACCTCCTAACCCCCACGCACCCCAACATTAAAAATTTAAGTGGCACTACCCCACTTGTGGCACATCAAATGAAAGCTATTTTAACAAGCTTTTCAAAAGTTTTTACCAAAATTTAATCAGACCATCCATTCATGATATACGGTGTTCTAATAAAAACGAACCACCTTAGAAAAAAATTGCAAAAAACCCCGAAACAGGTTAATTTTGTTTTTAAAAAAGACATTTTTTAACGTAATTTTAAAAGCACCTTCACTAACCCTTTAACCTCTATGCTACTTAACTCTAAAATGTCAAATAGCACCAACCACTAGTAATACAAAAAATGAAAACACTTTCAAAATGCTCTTTAAAAGCTTTTTTCCAAAATGAAATGATTTCTATACATTCATAAAACACAAAGAAACTTAAGAACTATATTGCTATTTTTTAGATACTTACATTAAATTATAAGAAACTTTATTACCCCCAGTTCTTTAGTACGATTATTTTGACAATAAAATAAAAAAAAAAATAAGTTTGTTACAGCACCAATAATACTTGTAACAATATTAGTAAGTTTCTTGTAATTTATTTTAATAGTTTTTATTAGAAGTAATTACTAATTAGAAACATTATCTTTTGCAAATATCTTATGAATAGGTAATTCTATTCAACTTTAGAAAAGAGGTTCAAAGAACATTTTAAAAACACTTTTATTTGATCTCTCGCAAGTGAGTCGGTTTGAAATTCCGAAATTGAGGCGGGAAAAGTTAAAGGGGTTAGCGGAGGTGCTTGTCTTTTTTAAAAACAAAATTAACCTAATTCGTTTTTTGCAAATTCTTTCTGGTTTGCTTTTATTAGAACACCCTGTACCTTATGAATGGATGGTCTGTTTCAATTTTGGTAAAATGTTTTAAAAAGCTTGTTAAAACAACTTTCATTTGATGTGCCACAGGTAAGTTGGGGTGCATGGGGGTTAAAAGGTTACTGGGAATGATTTAAAAATTACGTCAAAAAATGTCCCCCTCAGAAATAAAATTGACCTGTTTTGGCGTTTTTACAAAATCTTTTTAGTTTTTGAGATATTCGTGGTGGGTCGTTTTCATTGAAACACCCTGTATGTTAATACTCAAGTGGATGACCTCGTGGTGGTAAAAAAACGATAATTTCTGTGTTTTCAAATTTGAATTTAATGCTAAAATCAAATGTCAATTTAAATTAAAATGTTAAATTGCAAGCTATCAAATTAGGTATTTAACAAACATTATTCATTTTAGTCATTATAAAGACACCCACACTAATTGGTAAGGTTGATTGAGAAATCTACTTATCCAGTCCTTTAGCAAACATAAAACATTTCAAATTGAATTGAATTTTTATATTTGTTTAACTATTTTTTTGAAGAAAGTTTTCAATTATATTCATGTAAAGTCGAAATATTAAAAACAATATTAAAGATTTCAACTTTGTTTAATAAATCTAAAAGATTGTGAATAATTATATCTAGGTACTGGTTTCCAATTTCCTAATTTTCAAAATCGTTGAACAGAAAGTCAGTATTTCTCCTTCAATTCAAAAATTTTATTTCCTTTTTTAATCAATCTAGACTGTTTTAAATTAATAATCACGCTGGTCGTTGTTTCTTCATCTTCTTGCCATAATCATTGCTTCACACAAATCATTTAAAAAATCAAAAATCATTTACAGGAAGAACGTTATCGATAATTACATACATTTTCGAAAAAAAAAAGTGCAAATGGAAGTATTTATTATTAAAACGAGGTTTCGTGCAGTTTATACTAAAGATATCGTGCAAGAATTTCACTTCTTCACGGATCGTTTTCACATGTAACTCCACAACACATTTTATTTTGTATCTTCGGAATCTTAATTGCTTTGTAGAAAGTGAATATTTCCAATAGTGTTGAACGTAATTGATTTAGTTAAGCAACTTTACGAGGTTCTTTACTTTTAGTTGGTACTTCGTGAGGTTGATGAGTTTTCAACAAAAGCGCCTGCAATTTCACGTTATGCTGCTATTAATCATTATATTTAATTTGCAGCTGTTGCAACGTAAGTGCACAATTTATCAACAATAGGTTCTCTATTCCTGGTTATGATAAAAATCCTAATTTTAATTTGTATATTTCATATTTATAGTCATACAGTGCGTCCCCGGAAAGGTGAAACGACTAAAAAAAATCTCGATTTAAATTGTCATTTTTTGGGGTTCGGCCTTGCTTGATTAAAGACTAATTTCGAACATAATTTTAGTTTTGAAAAATCAAGTAATTTTTTTCCATAATAAAGTGCCTTTGTGTGGCAAATTCGACAAAAATCATCGTCCAACTATAATTTTTCATTTTCTTTATGTTTATTAATTCACAAATCAATGAATTTTATTTTTAGCAGTTCGTTTATTACAAATAAAAAAAATGCATTTAGATTATTCGTACTATAAAATTATGACGTTTCTGTTAATAAAAATCAATTATCTCAGAAAAAAAATTAAAAACCATAGTGGCCGATAATTTTGAAATTAGAGAGGCTTAAATGTTGATTATAAACAATATTTCTTAATAACTTTTTGTCGTATTTGCCATTTAAAAGCTTTTTAAAATTTCTTTTAAACAGATGTTTATTTTTAAAGT